GAAAGGAAACTACAGACCAATATCCCTTATCAACATAGATACAAGAATTAAACAAAATATTAGCAAATTGAATGCAGAGAAATACAAGGGAGATAATACATCATGACCAAGAGGAGTTTTGATAAGAAAACCAAACAGAGACATTATAAGAAAAGAAAACCACAGACCAGCATCTGTCCTATAAAGAGACACCAAAATACTTAATACAATTTTAGCAAATTGAGTTCTTAAGAATATAAAAAGAATGACAGATCATGGCCAAGTACAATTCATTGCAGGAACATAAGGTTAGTTTAACATGTGAAAATCAATCAAGGTAACTCACCATATTAACAAACTAAAACAGCAAAAGTATTATCGCTTCCTTAGATGCAGAGAAAGAATTTTACAAAGTTCAACACCCATTTGTGGCGAACAGAAATTCTCAGCAAACTAATCTCAACAGTGCGCTCTAGTTAAAATGCGCGGAACTGGAGAAAGCCTGAAATAGACGTACACAAGGCCAGGTGATTTGTGAGAAAGATGACAAGGTAATTCAGTGGGTAAAAGGATGGTTTTTTCAAAAATGTGTTAAAACAGCTAGACACCTTGATGGGAGAATCAGAGCCTGGGTCTGACCTAATATCATACACAACTCAGAGACTCAGAGATGTCCACAGCCAGACAGAGCATTGCTCACACCCCAGACAAACTGCAAATCAACACACTTTCTTGATCCCATTAGAGACCCGAGGTTACAGGGCAAACAGCTGACACAAAATCTGGAGGGGGCAGGGCTGAGCACTTGGTCACCTGGGACGGATTCTGCTATAGCCAGGGACAGGCGGGCCCCAGAGCCAGGTTGGTGTCCTGGGTGGGGACAGGGCAAGGCTCCCTTAGGGCACAGGAGGAGCCACTTGGGTGGCGGTGTCGGGGGGAGTAGGGGTCCAGGATACCGTAGGGTGAGGAGGTGGGCTGGAGGCCCTGGGTGACGAGCAGGCCCAGGGGAGAGTAAGGAAGTGGGGTCGATGGACGGACAGGGACAGTGGTGCTGGGTCTGGTGGGGGAGTGTCCAGGGAAGGCTGGCACTGGCCTCTCCTGTCATCTCCTCTTTACTTCCCTCTGCCTGTCCCTCTGCTGATGGCACTCAGATCACCAGATAACAAGGTTCCACTGATGGCAGAGTTAACTGTTCAGATAACACCCAGAGATGACTGTTGTCCGACTTCACAGAGGAATCGGGTCTGCCATCTGGGGCGGGGGGTGCAGGGCCCCTTCCTGGCCAGAGGGACTCGGGCACTGGGTCTGAGTCATCCACTTCCTCCCTCTGGATTGGATGACCAGCATCCCTCCCCTGACCCTGTCCTGCTCTGTGAGGATAAGAGGCAGGGAGAGAGGGCTGGGCAAAAGCAGCTGGACACGCCAAGGTGAGAACCCCCAGTGGGAGCCTGACACCTGGGTGTCACCGTGGAGCAGGATGGCTGAGCCTCAGATCTGGAGCACTGAGGCCCCAGACCCCCTGGCCTGGACAGAGCCCCTGATCACCGGGGGCCCCGACTCCACCTACACCCCACAACCTGCACCCCATACCCTGCAGACCCCACACCCTGCAGACCCCGCACCCCACAGACACCCCACCCCACAGAACCCACACCCCACAGACCCCCAGCCAAGCTCCAGCTGCCCCTCCGCGCTCCTTCCAGATGCTCCATCTGCCGGTGCTGGCGCTGCCCCTCCTGGTGAGCCTGGTCCATGCGGCCGCTGGTGAGTCCTGACCCTGGGCCCGTTCTGTCTCTGTCCACTCACCCCACCCCCCACAAGCCCAGGGATGGGTGGGTGGGTTCAGAGAAGCCCAGGGTGGTGCTGGCACAGGGAAGGGCTGAGCCCGATGGCTGGGTCGTGTCGTGTCCTGAAGGCACTTCCTGCCCCAGCCTCAGACCAGGCTCTGCAGCGAGCAGGCATCGTAGGGGGACGGGAGGCCCCTGGGAGCAAGTGGCCCTGGCAGGTGAGCCTGAGATTCAGCACCCAGTACTGGAAACACATCTGCGGGGGCTCCCTGATCCACCCCTGGTGGGTGCTGACCGCGGCCCACTGCGTTGGACCGTGAGTCTCCACAGGGCCTGGCGGGTAGGGGTGGGCCTGGGGCTCTACCCACGCTCCTGGGTGTCCCGGAGGTGGCTCAGCCCCTGAGTAGGTGGCCCTCTCTCTCCCCAGGCAAGTCCAAGACCCCACAGTCCTCAGGGTGCAGCTGCGGGAGCAGCACCTCTATTACCAGGACGAGCTGTTGCCCATCAGCAGGGTCATCCCCCACCCCAACTACTACATAGTTGAGAACGGGGCGGACATCGCCCTGCTGGAGCTTGGGGACCCCGTGAACATCTCCAGCCACGTCCATCCGGTCACCCTGCCCCCTGCCTCGGAGACCTTTCGCCCGGGGACTCGGTGCTGGGTGACAGGCTGGGGCAACTTGAACAGTGGACGTGAGTGTCAGGGACCGCTGGAGGGGGACTTGGGCACATCACGGCTCCACCACCTGGGGTTTCCTCTGGGGAACAGGGTCCCAACCGGCCGGCTCAGGGCGGTGATCCCACACTCTCCTGATGCAGCATCCTTCCTCTCCTCTCACCCCCAGAACCCCTGCCACCGCCATTTCCCCTGAAGCAGGTGAAGGTCCCCGTCGTGGAAAACAGCATCTGTGACATGAAATACCACACTGGTCTGTACACAGGGGACAACATCCCGATCGTCCGGGACGACATGCTCTGTGCCGGGAATAGCAAGAGGGACTCCTGCCAGGTGGGTCTCGCGTCCCCCTGCAGCCCCCAGCCGCCCAGGCCTCACAGCCACCGCTGACCCCTCCCCTCCCCAGGGCGACTCCGGAGGGCCCCTGGTCTGCAAGGTGAATGGCACCTGGCTGCAGGCGGGTGTGGTCAGCTGGGGCGACGGCTGTGCTCAGCCCAACCGGCCAGGTATCTACACCCGCATCACCCACTACTTGGACTGGATCCACCAGTACGTCCCCGAGGAGCCCTGAGCCCGGTCCCCAGGGTTGCCACCTGGGTCAGCGGAGAAGCCAGTCCCTTCCTGTCCCCACACCGCTGCTTCCTGCTGAGGCGGCATCCTTCCCCACCTTCCCTGGCCCCCTGCCCTGAGCACCCCCTGTTGATGCCCCTGCCCCGAGCCCAGGGAGCGGGCAGTGGGCACTAACGCTCATTAAAGATTATGGAAAGCAGACGTGGTCGTCGCTGTGTTTCTGGCTGTGGGTGTCGCTGAGGGAGAGGGAAGGGTCCAGGGCCCAGCCAGGTTCAGCCACCCTCTCTGTGGGTCCCCGGTCCCTGAGCAAATGCCTTGCTGTGGGGATGGCCCTCACCCTGCCCCTTGTGCCCGGGGCTGACTTCTCTGCACACTGGCTTGTGTCTCTTTTTGGTGAGTTTCGGGACAGATAAAGAAACACGGGCCATTTAGATGATTCTCGGGGCACCAGGTACCCAGCAATGGGGTCAAGGGCCGGAGCATCACCCCCCTCTGCCAGGTACCTCCATTTCGCTTTTGCAGCCTGTCCCCTCCTCTAGCGCTACCCCACCCCTCCCAAGACCAACAACCAGGACTACCCAGCCCAGGGGATGGCCCCCGGGGAGGGCTGGCAGGCAATCCCCGGCATGCGAGGCTGAGGATGGGGACTCCCCGACTCCCTCTGCCTCCAGGATGACCTGGAGGGCCTCTAGTTGGCCAGGGGCCAGGTCTTGACTGCAGGCGGTGTGGTGAACTGGATAGGGGCTGTGCTCCACATCCTTGTTTCTACACAGAAACTAGTCAACTGTCCCATCCTCCTGCCCTCTAACCCTTGATCTATGACCCCTCTCTAGCAGGGAGATTGCAGGCCAGAGGCTGGGCCTGGGGGAAGAACCACTGCCGCAGCCCTGGGTCCGGCCCAGGTCAGCATATTCTCCCTGTGGGAACTGAGGCCAAGGTCACATGCAGGAGAGTCTGCAGACCCCATCACTCCAGGTCCAGCTGTGCCCCGCCCCCAAGCCCACACCAGGGCCGCCCACTCTGGGAAGCCCTGCAGTTCCAGGAGCCTCCACCAGAGGGAGCCCTGGCACCTCCTGTGAGGGGCTGAGCAGGTGGGGAGTGGGGGAGGGGCTGGGCAGGTGGGGATTGGGGGAGGGGCTGGCTGCAGCCCTGGGTCCTATGCTGGGGACTCACTGCCCACCCGTGTCAGAGCAAATAGGTCCCGGCCTCAGCCAGGTAGAGCCCTGGATGGCACCTCCCACCACCTAGGCCAGCCCAGAGGCGGCTGAAGAGCGTCAGGAGGCCTGCCGTCCCAGTGTCGCTGGGCTCCTGCTTTGCTGCATGGAGAGAAGGGCTTGGACCCTAACCTGAAGCCAGCTCTGCGTTGGGCACAGCCCCCCACTGTGTTCACAGCCACGGTCTGTGAACTTGTGGAGGATCACAAGTTCTATCCTGACCCGGCCCCCTTCTGTACCTGCTCTCACGGGTAAGGGGTGAGGGGGGGTCTGTGCACTAGGGCTGTGGCCGAGAAGCCAGCAGGGCGTGGGGCAGGTCTAGGGTCAGAGCCTTCAGGTAGGGAGACAGCAGAGAGGGGGGTGGCCCCTGCAACCCCAGGTGACTGCCCAGCTGGGAAGCACTCCCACGGGGACCTGCCCCCTGCTCCCACAGCACCCATTCCTGCTGGAAGCCCTGGCAGAAACTTGTTCCTAATTGGATCAGACCTTGTTTCTCCAGTGTGTGAATGATATCACATGGTTCTGGCTGCCAAGATGAGCTCTACTTTTCCAGGGAAGGAGGGCTTTCTATCTGCGATCTGCCCAAGTGTGGGGGGGGGGGGAGCCTGCAGGAGGGCTTTGTGGAGCCCCATGCCGCTGCTGGTGGTGGAGGCATCACCCAGGTTGGCCCTCACCAAGGCCATGGGCTTGCCACCTACCCACGTGAGGGACCGATTCTGACAGTGGAAATCCAACGCATTTCTTAAATAAGTTAATATTTATTCCACTCTGCTTTGCCCCCCTCCCCTCCCCTTGGCTTGAGAAGCCGAGTTTTCTGCATCGGATTATTGCAAATGTTTAACCTGAATTTATAACAGAAACAAAATGAGACAAGGGGGCATCAGCTGAAACTCTCGGCCCAAGCCCCACGGGCAGTGAGGGTCTTATTGCATGGTCCCCACTCCCTGGTGACCAGCTGTTTCCCGGAGACCGGAGTCAAGGGCATTCTCCGGAATCCTGAGGGGGACAGAACGGTGGGCAGTGGGTATTGGAGGGGGGATGAGACAGCAATGAGCAGTGGAGACAAATGGATGAGAACTCAAACTGTGAGCAACGTGAAGCGTGACCACGGTGGCCTTGGGGATGAAGCTGGAGGGCATAAACGGCCCTAAGCATGTATAAAAATAAGCAGATGTGAGAATGGGGCTCTGCTAGGTGGCCTCTGCCTTTCTACTTTTGGTGTTCTCTGGTCCTTGTCCCTTGGACATAGCTCTCGTTATGGGACTGCTGACCAGGCTACTGGCACGGCCTGGGACCATGGCAGCAAACTCGGAAATCCCAAACTTTAACTGAGGCTTCGGGCTGTGGGCTCCCCCTGCTCCACTTCGCCCACAACAGCATCTGCCTCCTTCTCCCTGGGCTGACATCCTTCTGGCACCTTTGCCTTCAGTGGGGCCGGACCCAGGGTCCACGCGTAACCCTGCCTGGGCCACCACCCTGCTGGGTGCACCCCAACCCCAGGGCCAAAGCCTGTGGGCACTGCACCCCGAGCTACACGGGCTTGTCCACACTGTCACCCAGGGCTGGTGTGGACCCTTTCTTCGGTGGGCTCTCAGGGACTGTGAGGTGCAGCCCCCACCCCTCCTCTGGGGGGTCTCCCGAGGCCACTGGAGGCTCCGTCTGCTGGGGTTCGGGAGGTGCCGTGATGCCTGAGGAGGAAGGTCTGGGCTCTGGGGCGACACCATGGCTACCATCCAAGAACAGGTCCCCCCTGGGGCCCCCCACATCCAGCGGCTCAAAGGCAAAGTTTGGGATGGTCAGGTGTTCCGTGCGGCAGGGGACCTGGACCCGCCGTTCCCCCTTGGCAGCAGTGTCCAACCCTGCACTGTCTGTGGGCTCCAGGGGGTCCCTGTGGGGCACAGCCTCGCAGGATGGGGTTCTCCGCCGCAGGGTGGTGCTACCGCCCTCCGCTGCAGGGGCCCGGGCCGCACCCTCGTCCTCCGTGGGGGGCTCTATGGAGATGCAGGGGGGGCTCATCTTCTTCTTCCTGCGTGCCCCCAGGGCCAGCTCGGCCTCCAGGGCCCGGGTCTTCACCTCCCCGGTCTCTGGGCGGCTGTCCCCACAGCCCTGCTCCACGGAGGGCCGCCTCTGCTCGTCCGCCCAGCCTGGCTGGTCCAGGAAGCCCTGGGCATTGACACTGTAGAACCTGTGCAGGTCTGGCTCACCGCCCACCACCCCACGGGCAGCAGGTGAGGCCGAGGGGCTGTGGGCAGAGCTGGTGATGTGGCTGACCTCCTCGTCAGCCGGGTCTGGGGTCTCGGCCTCCTCTGCGCCCAGGGCCGGTGGCCGGCTGGAGACGTAGTTCTGTCCCAAAGTGTGCTTGCGGATGCGGATGCTGGGGGGCCGCGGGGGCGCCTGCCTCACAGGGGTCTTCCCACCAGGCTCTCCCCAGCCCGGGCTGCTGTCCCTGGGACTATCGACCTGCCCTTCTAGGGACTCTGTGCAGACTACCTCCTGCAAAGACATGGAGTCATATGAGACCAGCCAGAGCCCAGGCAACAGGGACCCCTCCCCCCACCACAGGCCAGGATGACCTCGTGACCCCCAAGGCTATGGGCCAGGGTGAGATGGGGCTGCGAGACACTGGTGTGGAAGCACTGTCCCCCAGCCCTAGTGTAGGGGCCCCCACCAACGCTGGTCATGCTGGGGAGGGGCCGTGAGGAGCAGAAGGCTGGAGCCCAAGCTTCCATGGGCAGAATCTGCCATGGGCCTCTGGAGACCCGATGGGGCACAGAGCCAGGCTGCAACCACTGCCTGACTGGCACCACCAGCTCAGCTTGACACCTCAAGGAGGGAGGAAGGGAGGGGGGCCGAAGACTCAGGTGACAGTGGTCTGTGGGTACATCCAGGCCCACAGGAAAGGTTGCTGGGGGGGCCTGAGGGAGGGCGAGGCTGCCGCCTGAGGGGACACGGGTCCCCATGGCCAGGTGCCATCATCACAGGCTCCAGGGACACAGCGCCTACTTCCCCAATGTCCCTGTCGCTCATCCTTCAAATGGGGAGGGAACCCCCACGGAGCCCCCAGGCCTCAGCTGAGGACCGGAAGTCTCCTCCTACCTGTGTGCAGAGCAGCCGGCTGAGACTAGGGGAGCGGGCTGCACCCAGAGGGGTCAGGGCACGGTGGGTGTCGCCGCCCCTGGCCGGGGAGGACATAGCCGACGGGACCTGGAGGGATGGGCAGGACTCCACAGGCGGCAAGTGGGCGGTGACTGGGCCTGGGGCAAGAAGGTGCCTGAAATGTGCATCCGCCGCTGGCCCCACCCCTGCCCCTGCCGGCCCTGGCCGGCCCCGCCCGCCCAGGTCCTGGCTGTCTCCACATGGGGCTGTACCCGAGGTGCCCGAGGCGCCCGCGTAGGTCTCCATCTCCACCTCCTGCAGCGGGTGGGGATGAGCGGCCGCAGCGGGTGCCACGGGCCGGAACATGTAGCTGTCGTTGGGCAGTGAGAGCATCCTGGACACAGACACCTTGCGCACGACCAGCAGGTTGGGGGCGTCCGGCGAGGCACCCGGGCTTGGCGGGGCCGTGGGCCTGGGGCGGGCAGAGGGCCCCTGCGCCATCTCCAGCTCGACCTCCGCGTCCAGCTCGGCATCCTCGCGGGCCTCCTTGTTGCTCTCCTCCAGGTGCTTCATGAGCACGGCCACCACCACGTTGACCAGCACGAACTGGGCCACCAGCACGAAGGTGACGAAGTAGATGGGCGAGATGGCCGGCAGGTAGCTGAGGCAGTGCCTGTCCTCACGGGCACACTCCCGCAGCGTGTCCTGCGGGTGGAGGGCGGTGGGCAGGCTCCCACCTCCGTCTGCGGGGCCTCTCGTTGACTCCCACCGCCCCGCCCACCGCGTGGGCCGGTACCTTCATGATCCCGTTCCAGTTGTCCCCCGTGGACACGCGGAACAGTGTGAGGAAAGCCATGCCAAAGTTGGAGAAGGTGGCGTGTCTGCTCAGGCCCTCGCAGGGGTTGTCCTCACCGCACTCTGCCGGGAGGGGCCTGGTCAGCCCGCCTGTCGGGGCCAGTCCGCGCACGGGCCCTGCCCTCCCATAGGGAGAAAGGCGCGCTCCTCTGGGGTGCAGGGGCCCTGGCAGGTGGACGCCTTCAGCACAGGCCCAGCTCTGCGTCAGCATGCCCCCTTCTATTCTGAGGAGTAACAGGGCTGCCCTGGGCATGAGGCGGCCCAGGTCCAGGTTGTGGGGCACTAGCTGCTGGGTCTGAGGAGTCCCCTCTGGGCAGACCCTGGAACCCACTGAGCCTTCAGTGACACCCAAAAGGAAGGGCGCTCCCACAGGGTCTGGGCTGCCACGAAAGGTCCCCACGGACCCCTGCCCGGACTAGCCAGAGCCTCACGCCTGGGGGTCTGAGGAAATCCTTGGTGACAGTTAAGGACTTGCTGCAGCATGTCCCCTGGGGACCAGGTGGAGTTCAGGTCACACCTGCGTGTGGGCACGTGCACACACTCGTGCAGCTCTGTCCTCCTGGCCTGGGTATGAACACATGTGCGTGTCTGTGTGCACGGCATGCGTCTGTCACAGCACTTTTGCATGTGCCAAGTCACCTCACAGTGAAGGGCTGACAGGAGCAGGGGCCAGGGCCTCAGCTTGGCCAGCACCCGGAGCCGTCCGCGGGCTGTGTGCTCATGCGTGATGCTGCGCCTTCTAGGACCCCGTGTCTGGAGTGTGGGCCACGGCGCGGCTGCACTCACCGAGCCTCCCAAACAGCTCCACTCCCAGGGCAGCATAGATAAAAAACAGGAGCATGAAAAGCAGGCCGAGGTTCCCTACCTACATAGGAGAGAAACAGAATGAGGTGAGTGGGGCCTCAGTCTCACCCCACCCCCTTTACCCAAGACCCGCCCAGCAGGGCATCAAGTTCTTGGGGACTGCCTTGAGCCCTGTTCTTAATCCATCCCTCTTGGCCTCGGAGCTCCTGTGGCCCCCAGGGCTCCCTGTCCTGCCTGGTGCCCAAGGCCCCTCTGCTGGCCTCTGCCCCTGCTTGGCTCCTCATGCCCACCCGGCAGCCAGGGTGCTGCCTCCAGCTCCTCTGCTCCCCAGAACCTGGGAGGCCTCCCGAGGGCTCTGGTGGACTCTGTGCAGGGCCTGCCTCCAGCCTCAGGGTCCCCACCTCAAGGTGAAGGCTGAAGCTCTGCAGACAGTGAGGTCTGGTCTGGCCCCTGCCCGAGGCTCTTCTGTGAACTTGCCGCCCACCCTCCCAGCGTCTGCTCACACTCACTCCGGGCTATGGGGTGGGGGGCGGCGCAGGGGCACCCTCACACGCCTCCCTCGCCCTGATGTGGCTGCTCCCCCTCTTCTCCAGCACCTGCTCCGGCCCCCAGAGGCATGGCACCGGGGCGTGGCCAGGCCCGGGTTTCCCATCCTCCACCCCCCACCCCTTCCCGTCACTCCCACAGACACTGGGCAGGCTCCAAGGAGAGCTGAGTATAACTCAGGTCTGAGGAATGCTGCTAAGGGGACCAGTGTGGGCTGGCTGAAGGTGGAGGGCGTGGAGGGCTGGAGGGTTAGTGGGCAGCTGGGGAGGCAGCTGGGTGGATAGAAACATGCTGGGCTGGTGGACAGACAGCTGGCCAGGAGGGCTGGATGCTGGACAGCTGGACACCTGGTAGATGGGTGGACAGACAGCTGTGTGAATGGATAGACAAATGTGTGGGTGGCTGGGTAGCTGGAAGGCTAGTTGAGAGGGCTAGAGCCACGGCCAGACGGACATGTGGATGGACGGCTGGTCAGGTGGACTGGCAGAGGGACTGAGTGCTGCACAGATGGGGAAATAAGACCTTCAGCTCAAGAAACCACAAAGGATCAGTGTGGTGGCTGTTGGGCACAGGACGCGAGGTCGCAGGGCCTGAACTGGCTCCAGAGGAGAGAGGCCTGTGGCCAACACCTGAGCCCTGGGTGTGGTCCTCCAAACTCGACAAGCACACCTTTGCCACAGGCTCTGCCCTCTGCCCAAATCCCACTGCATCCAGAACTGCACTGGGGGATATGGGCACTGGTCATTGGTCTTCCCCAGAGAGACTAGACTGAGGCCCGGAAGGCAGGCAGCACACCCCTCTCACAGCACAGCCCAGCAGCTCAGTTACTCCTTGCACCCGGCAGGGAGGAGGGTTGGTAACTGCAGTTGCCTTGAGACGGGGCGACCAGGTGAACGAGTGCCGATTGACAGTGAGTGAGGCCCTCCCTGCAGCCTGTCCTCTTGGGGGTGTCTGTGATGCCCACCCTGGGAGCAGGGAAGCCAGACCCAGGCCCAGCCCCCGAGCTGCCGACCTACCTGGGGCAGCGCCTGAACCACGGTGTCCAGCAGGGCCCGCATACCCGTGGCCATCTTGAGCAGCTTCAGCACTAGGGCCGGGAGCCGAGCATCAGCGGGGAGGGGGTGGGGCTGGCCAGACCCGGACCACCCGCCCCCCCACTTCCCGTCACCAGCATAACGCACCAGTGTGGGCTGAGGAACGACGCGGGGTGGGTGGACACCTGAGCCCTGTCTACCTGCCCTCCTGATAGCCCGGAGACCCTGGTGGGACAGGCGGGTGGCCTACCGCGGGCGATGCGGAGCACCCGCATGATGCGGATGATGGTGGGGTTGATGGGCAGCGCCGCGTTCATCTCTATCTCCTCCAGTGTGATGCCCATGATGGACAGCAGGACGATGGCCAGGTCCAGCTGGTTCCACCTGGGCCGGGCGGGCAGGCATGATTCAGTGCTGGCCACTGCCTCTTCCCCAGCACCCCTAGCCCTTCAGAGCACCAGGAGTCCCCTCCCTGTCCCCTGGAAATGTCCTGGTGTCACCACAGGGCATCTTGCACCTCTACTCAGCACCGTCACCTCTGCAGGCCTCAGGCCACGCCTCTTTCCCGCCCCTGCTCCACACACCTGTCCTTGAAAAACCTCCGGAACCCAAACGCCACCAGCTTCAGCAGGGCCTCAAAGACGAAGACGATGGTGAACACATAATTGCAGTACTTGAGGGCCTCGTCCAGAGACTGGGGATGGAGTGTCAGGCTCCTGAGTGTCAGGCTCCCTGCCCGGCTGCCCCTTCCCACCCATCCTCCTGCCCCCTTGCAGCACTGGACGCCCCCCCCGCCGCCGCCGCCCCCGCACCTGTGCCCTGTCCACCCTGCTCCGTCTCTCTCCTCTGCTGACCTGGGCACCTCCTCAGATACGGGACAGGTCTCAGCTATTACTGGATGCAGGTCTGTGCTGGGCTGGGGAGGGCCGCCTGGATTTACCCTCGTGGCATTCTGGGGACAACTCTCAGGTGGGGGAACCTGCCCCTCGGAGCCCAGACTTCTGGCCTTGCCTGGACCAGAGCCACCCACAGCCCAGGGCAGGGGCCAGCCCTCCGGATGGGCTCAGCTTCAGCCAAAGAGTCAGAGACTCTCCGCTGTTCTAGGAGGAGGGGATGTCCCCGTCTTTAATGAAATGGTGGCGATGCGATCAGAGGACATCCCCCTCTCTCAGTCTGGCCTTTCCTGGACTGTGAAATCCACAGTCTGGGAAGCTGCTGGACTCGGGGACACTCCCTTAGCCAGCATTTTGGATGGAACTTCTCATGGGGTTGGGGAGGCCCTTGGGGCAGATGTGCCCTGGGAGTTTCCACTGGTTTTAAAGGAAGGAGGGCCCTTTGTTCCAGCCACACATCCATGTACCCCATAAACGCCGGTGAGGGCTCAAGCACTGCTGCAGACCTGGGGCCCCCAGTTCTTAGTGTAGCGCCACCTCACTGAACAATGGGCCCCACCCGCGGCCCTCCCCGCTGCAGGTCTGGAGGCAGGGTGCGTGGGGTGTCCAGGCAGCGAACCCCACCTTGGGCTGGTTATAGTGCTCCACGGACATGGTGATGACGTTGACGCCAATGATGAAGGTGATGAAGAGGTCCAGATAGTGGCTGGTGCACAGCGAGTGGATGGAGCGACGCGTGGGTGAGTAGTCCGCATAGTAGGGCCGGCGCTGGGCCTCTGTGGGAAGGCGGCCATGGTGAGGGGGTGGGTGGGGTGGGGTGGGAGGGCTGCCTCCCAGGGGCTGGAGGGTAGAGGTGCTGGGGGAGGGCCCAGGCTCAGACGTGGGCCTCAGGGGCAGGTCACCCACCGACCTACTCCACCAAGAGGGCCCCAGCCCCAGGGCAGACCCCAGGAGTGGGCCTGGAAGCTGAGACCCCACCTGCGCCCTGCCGTGGGGCCCTGCCCAAACCCCGCCCTGCCGGGAGCTCCCAAGCCAGGGCCTGTGTGATCTACTCTCCTGAGCTGGCATCAGGGTTCAGAGACACCTCAGTGATGAAGGGCGGGCAGATGGGAGCTTTCTTGGGGGGCAGGGCAGAGTGGCTACCACACCCCCATCTTCCAGGCTGGGCATGTGCTGCCTCCTGGCCCCCAGGCCCAGAGTCCCTCCACTCCCTGTGCCCCAGGAGGCCAGTGGGCAACTGCCCGCTCTCTGGTACATCTGAGGTTGATGGCCATGACCTGGGTGGCAGGGGGAGGTTGTGTATCTCCCAGCAGGTCTGTCTGCACTAAATGCTCCACCTGCTCTAACTCTTCAGGGCAGATCAGTGCCCACTGAGCTCCCACTGGGTGAGCGCATAGCTGCCACCACTGCATAGGGGACCCACCTTGGCCACAGAAGCCCGTGGGCAGGGACCAGGTAGAGCAGGGGCCGACGGGAACCGACCCCTCCCTGGGGCCCGCATGCTCCTTGGTCTGGCATGCGGTCACTAGAAAGCTTGGCTCAGCTCTTGCAGCCAAAGGGGCCAGTGACCAGTTGGGCCAGGCCAGCACTGAGGACATGGAGTAGCCACCGGCCGCCAGGCTTCCCAGAGTGCAGCAGAGAAGCAGTCAGGCATGCAGGCCGGGCGGAGGAACACACACGAGCTTAAAGGCAGCAGCGTGGACACCAGGCAGGCGGCCAGCAACCCTTCCTCCCGCTGGCGCCCGGCGCCCACCCCAGCCGTCCCGTGCCCACCCTGCGGTGGACCCCAGTGGGCTTGGCACCCGCCTGCGATGTCCACCCTTCCCTGTGGCAGTGGCAGAGGGATGGAGGTCAGGCCAGTCCACAGCCCTGTGCAGTGGCCTGCAGAAGTGGGGGTTAAGGCATGCAGGGCGGGGGGCAGGTACCTGGGTTGGGGAAAGTGCCTGGAAAGACAAGGAGATGGTCTGAGCTGGCCGCGGTGGGCAGGGCTAGGAGACTCCACCGGGTGGGCGGGCAGCTCAGCATCCTCTCCTGGAAGAGGCCCTCTTTGCTCCCCAGCTGGGTGGGGTTTTCTAAGACCCTCTCTCTGTCCTGGATGGCTCTGCCTGCTCCCCCCACTGTGGCGTGAAAACTCATGGGGTGAACCTGCCCTTGCGGTGGTGGGGGGTGGGAACTGGGGCCTCATCCATCCCCTGTACCTCCTGGGAAGGGACCCCACCTCCTGCTGCAGCCATCCTTCTCTGAGGGCAAGAAGGGCAAGCGTGCAGAGCCACTCGGTGAGGCCGGAGTTGCGGGTGGGGCAAGGGGACTGGGGCCAGGTAGGGGGCTCTGGGGCCAGGCTGCTGAGCTGCTGCCTGGGTGCTGCCTGCACAGCCCTGCGCCGAGCACAAGGGAGACCCGGGCTTAGGCCAGCAGCAGCCAGGTCTCAGAGCCACCCCTTGGCTGGTCCCCCGGTCCCCCGGTCCCCAGCCACCCTCCCACAGGCGAAAGGGGGGCCTCAGGCAGGTGGAAAAGGCTGGGGTGACGCGCAGGTACCGACCCGCCACCGCCACCGGGAGCGCCTTACTCCTGCGTTTCCTCTCCAGGTGCCGCTGCCGCTTCTCTTCCCGCCGCCGCGCCTCCTCGGCCTCCTGGTGCTGCCGGCACTTGTGGAAGTTCTCCACCACGACGCCCACGAACATGTTGAGCACAAAGAAGCTGACGATGAGCAGGAAGGAGATGAAGTAGAGCAGCATCCAGGGGTTGTGGTTGGGCACCGGCTGTGGCACAGGAGTGGCACGTGGGTGCCTGCCCACAAGGGCGCCCCTCCCGGGCACGGCCTCTGCCTGCAGGGTAGCTCTGACCCCCGACGTGGAACTCTCCAGAAGTTCTCAGAGACCAAATGCAGCCTCTCGGGGGACATTCCCTGAGATGACCAAAGAACACGGGAAGAAAGGTCTGCTTGGAGGAGCAGGGCTGCCCACCGCCCACTGCACCTGCTGGTCTATGCCCACGGCGTCCAGCCCGTCGTACATGATGTTCACCCAGCCGTCCTTGGATGAGAGCACGAACAGGGACATCAGCGCCTGCGAGGCCAGAGCAAGGTGGTTACTTCTGGACGTGGCCTCCTGCTGGGGAGACGCCCCAAAGGACCACACCCCCTACCACAGCCCCACGCACAGCAGACCCACCCACGACTCGCAGACCCACCATGCCGCTCCCACCTTACAGATAAGGACGAGGTTAGGTGAGGTCACCCCCGCCAGGCTTGCCCCCCCACCCCGCCCCCCCCCCCCCCCCCCAGCCCTGCCCACCTGGCCTAGGTTGTCGAAGTTGTACTTGCGTCGCACCCAGCGGTAGTGCGCAGCCCAGCACTCGGCTTTAGTGGAGATGTTCCTGGTGTCAGCGCCCTCGCAGTAGTAAAACTTCCCCTTGAAGAGCTGACCAGGGCGGGGCAGTCACCCAGAGGGCCAGGCCTTGCACCCCCACGCTCCAGACCCACCCCCACGGGGCCTCCCAGAGCAGCCGGACAGAGAGCAACGTCTCTCTCGCTGCCTGCCTGGGCCTTGGCCCTCCCGGGGCTGCTATGCTGCTGCTGACCACAGACCACCGTCCCACAGACAAGCAGAGCCGCGCACCTGCACCCCGAGGATGCCGAAGATGATGAAGAAGGCACAGCAGATGAGGACAATGTTGCCGATGGGCCTGAGTGACGATATCAGAGTCTCCACCACCAGTTTGAGGCCTGGGGCACGGCTGATAACCCTGCACGAGGAGCAGAAGAAATGTGCTGTTGAGCCCACCCAAGGGAGCTGCCACCAGACAGAAAGCCCAGCGCTGCAAAGACCCCACCCCCTGCTGGCCCCAGGCCCTTTCCTTCCCCAGCTCTGCCCCACCCTCTGGCTCCGCCCCACCCTCTGGCCCCACCCCAACCAGCCATAGCCCCGCCCATTCATACCCTTCCCTTCCCCAAACTCCACCCCACCCTTCCCCAGCCCTGCTCCGATCCCCGATTCAGGCCCTGCCCCACCGCCCAGTCTACCGCAGGGGCCGCAGTGTCCGCAGCAGGCGCAGCACACGCAGGATGCCCAGGATCTTGGCACCACCGGCTGACGCCATGGCCACGATGATGTCAACCAGGGACACCAGGACCAGCAGCCCATCCAGTATGTTCCAGCTGCTCTGCAGGTAGGCATGCTCACCAGAGACCAGGCCCAGGGCCACCACCTAGTGGGTGCAGAGGAGGGGCTGGTGGACATATGTGCTGCACACGGGGCCAGGGTGGGGCCACTGGGCAGGGCTGTGAGGCCGGATGGACAGATGCCTGGGCTCCCCTGGACACCCTATACCTTCACCATCATCTCGGCCACGAAGATCGCCGTGAAGACGTAGTTGGAGATGCTGAGGAAGACGCGCTCCTGCAGAGGACAGGATGATGGGAGGGGCCAGCCGCAACGGCGGGACCCCACCCCTCCCAGGCAAGGAGGGCGCCTCACGGTGCTGCCGGGGTCAATGTCGGGCCTCTCCAGGGCGATCGTGATGCAGTTGAGGAAGATGAAGACCAGGACAACGTGATCAAACATCTTGTGAGCAATGATCTTCTGGCAGGAGATGCGGAACCTGGGGGCCGGGGGTCGGGGTTCAGGGACAGCCCTGGCCAAGCCCTTGCTTCCCGTCCCCAAGGTCCCAGAGGAGGAGCACAGCGTTCACCACATGGTAGGGACGCAGGGGCCCAGAGGGAGGGGTCAGCTTTCCCAGGTTTCTCCCAGGTGTGCCCCATACCTGTTCTGTGGGGAGAAGAGGTACAGGGCCCAGGGCTCGCGGCTCCGACAGCACTCGGGCTTGTAGGGCTCCAGCACTTTCTGCAGGCGGGAGCAGCAGCTCTGGGGAGGGGGGGGCGGTCCTCAGGGCCCCTCCCAGCCTGGGCAGCCCCCAGCCTCTCCTGCCTTCAGGCTCAGCCCTGTCCACCCACCCGGGCACTGGGTGAGGGATCTACGCTGGGAGCTGGGAGTCCAGGGGGGTGCCGGTAAGTGGCCATCCTCAGATCCCTGCCCAGGTGGGCCTCCCAGCAAAACTGTCCAGGGCAGCAGAAGTGCCTAGCTGAGAAGGTGGTTCTGCTCTCTTCCCCTCTCCTCCCATGGGGCTCTCCTTGGCTGACCGACTCCAGCTCAGAGCAAGCCCTCAGCTGGAGGTGGGGCTGACCCTGGGGCGAATCCCACTCCAGAGCTCCCTGTGGATCAGCTGAGGCCACACCAGCCAGATCAGCTCCTGCCCAGCTTGTCCTGCTTCCCTCCCCCGTCCCAAGGGCCTCCCGCGAACGCTGCTCCCGAGTCCCCACCTGGGAAACCAGCCCACGACAGGGGGAGGCGAGGGGCTGACGTGAGGCCCACCCCCACTCACATCCTCCACATCATCGTCAAACTCAGCCGTGTCCTCCTTGTGGCTGTCGATGCGCAGGAATAACTCGCTGGGCAGGGCCAGCCCGTTGCAGTCGTGGAGCTTGGTGGGCAGCAGGGCAGCTGGCCGCAGGGGCCGCAGGTCAAGCGTGCTGCGGTGGTCCAGGGACTCGGTGCGCCGCAGCAGTGTGGCACGTGTATCTGGCGAGGCTCCCACACCAGGCCTGCTGTCCTCGGCCTCCTCGTCTGTGCTGCCGCTGCCCTTGCCCTCGCCGGACAGCAGCGACTCACGCTCCCCGCACTGGCTCCTGCGCTTGAGGCTAGGTGCGCGGCCCAGGCTGTTCCAGCTGGAGCGCCGGCTGCTCCAGGCGCTGTTGGGGCCCCAGTGGGTGCAGGGCGAGCTGCGGAGGCTGGACTGCGGGGAGGGGGCAGGAGTGAGCAGGTCGGACGCCCCCCCCCAAGTTACCCCCAAACATCCTGGCCTCAGGGGCACCTGGCACAGGGACCTTTCGCATCCAATGGCATCACCATTGACAGCCATGGGTGACATCTGTACATGGATCATCTCCTTTAACGAGCAGACAGCCCTGCTAAGGAGAGACACTAGCGGCACTGAACCTTCAGTGGGGCACCTGTGGCACACAGTGGGTCAACAGCTAGCTGGAGAGACAGCCAGCAAGCGTCAAGAGCACTGAGTGGGCCTCCCGGGCCTGCTCGAGGACCAGAGGGTGGGCGAAGGTTATCAGCGGGCCTGGGACCAGCCACGGACCAGGCATCCTCAGATGCCACCGAGCAGCTGAACTGGATCTCTGGGGAGGGGCCCCACATCAGTTTCTAGTTGGCAGACTCTGGACTCACAAAGAGAAGCCGGGTGCTGCTTATCCAGGAGATAAACTGGACTGTGGTCCGGGGACTTCACCTTTGCTGCACCTACCCTCTTTGCCCTTCATCGTTTTCACCTCAGGGGTCCAGCAGGAGCTGAGCTGGAATCCTTGCTCAACAGCCCTTGTCCTCCTCCCAGAGAGTCCTAGCAGTTTGGCTGTGATGCACCTTGTTGCTAGATCACTCGGCCCACCCAAGGCTCAGCCCTGCACCTTTTCTGTTACCAACACACTATCGTCCTGCCTTAATGGTTTGCCTGGACTTTCCTCCAGGTTCATATCCTTGTGCTTTCTCTCCACGGTTAGCTTGTCCTGTTCTGCCCACCCCTCCCGGGCCCTTCTGAGAAGCCCAGAAGCTGGCTCTGGCTGTGTCTGCTGGGGGTGGTGTATTCTGGGTTTGTCTGGAAACACCCTGTGGGCTCCAGCTCCACAGGGTGCTGTTGGTCGTGATGCACGGAACTCTCCGCCCGGCTTCTGTCACCTGCTTCACATCCTTAGTTTTTTTTTGTATTTTTATTTTTGGCTGGGTTGGGTCTTCACTGCTGCACGCAGCCTTTCTCTAGTTGCGGCGAGCGGGGACTACTCTTCCTTGCGGTGCGCGGGCTTCTCATTGCGGTGGTTTCTCTTGTTGCAAAGTACAGGCTCAGTCGTTGTGGCTCGCAGGCTCTAGAGCGCAGGCTCAGTAGTTGGGGCACACGGGCTTAGTTGCTCCGCGGCACGTGGGATCTTCCTGGACCAAGGCTTCAACCTGTGTCCCCTACATCGGCAGGAGGATTCTTAACCACTGCGCCACCAGGGAAGTCCCACATACTCAGTTTTTTACACCTTTTTGCCATCCTTCTCTGTTTTCCCCATCTTGTATGCTGTGTGCTTTGCCAGCTTTTATCTATGATTGCAAATTGGAAGATAAACTTCCGGCCTGACAGTCTACTCGTCTGTTCATACTCCTCCCATAAAAACGGCAGCTTCTGGCTCCATTTATAGAAAACAAAGCACTCAGGGCCAAGGGATTCCAGGGGTATGACTGGGGGTGTGTGTGCGGGACCCTCACTCATCTCTGGGGAAGGCCTAAGGAACTGGGTGGGTGGAGCCTGAAGGTGCCCTGAGGCCAGGGCGGGGGACCATCCCTACCAGAGACTTCTGGTCCCCCAGCTGGGGGTCCACGGAGCTGCTGCTGCCACGCCGTGAGTCCAGGAGGCCAGGGGCCGCATCCAGGTGTGGGGAGCTCTTGGGGGTGGGCATGGGTGTGGCTGCCGTGCGCATGATGAGGGGAGGGGGTAGGCTGGCCTGGCCCTCCAAGTGCCCGTTGGGGGTCACCGCCAGCGAGTACATCTTCATCTCTGGGTGGGGGGAGGAGGCCGCTTGAGCCTGCAGGGCTCCCAGGAAGGATAATCTGCCCGCCCAGGACCCGCCCACAGGAGTCCCAGCTGTGCCCGGACTGGCAGGCAGCTCCCTCTCCATCCTGTCCCTGCCCCGCCCCCTCACCCGCATGCGCACCTGTGCCCCTGAGGTCTCTGAACTTGTCCAAGTCCTCCTCCAAGTGGGTGGAGGTCTTGTCTTCATCTGTGTCGGACCTGGTGGCGTCACCCTGTGCCCGAGGAGCACACAGTACACGTGAGGCTCCCCTCTGGTGGAGCCCCCTACAGGAAGGCCAGGCCAGCACGGGGGCAGGTGTGGACGGAAGGGCCCAGCGGCTGGAGGACGGAATTCTCTCCATGTTGGTCTGCCCAATGTGCCTGGTTCCCACTGCCTCCCCTGGAAGCCCCCCTCACCTCCGCCTGGAAGCCCTCCACAAGGATGGCCACCAGCAGGTTGAAGAGCACGTAGTTGCCAAAGGTCATGAGGGCCACGAAGTAGAGGGCAGCCCAGGAGGAGGTGGAGGCCATGCCGTTGTAGAGGACAACGTTCCAGTCCTCCTGGGTGAGGATCTGGGGGAAAGGGGTGGCGGGGCAGAGTGGGCCCAACATGGGGCCGAGGGGGTGCCAGGACGGTGAGTCTGGCTGCAGAAATGCTGACAGGCCCTTAGGACCAGAAGGAGCTCTGGACAAGTGAGACCAGGTCCACCACCCCAGGGGCCAGAATCAATGTCCCTGCTGCTGTTCACAGCTCGTCACTCACTGTGGCCTTGGACAGGCCTCGGCCCGCTCTGGGGCTGTTCTGAGCAGGGCTGTGGCTCTCCAGGGACTACCACGTACATGAGGGGACGGCCCCACCTGGCTTTACCTGGAACACGGTGACGATGGCCCACAGCAGGGAGTCAAAGTTCTTCCTGTCAGGGACCGTGTCTCCAGTGTCTGTTTTCAGGCTGAATTTGCAGCCAAACAGGTGCATTCCGAGGATGCTAAGGGCGGCAGACAGGGATGCGGTGAGTGCGGGGGATGAGGCACAAGTGGGGGGATATGCGGGGTGCTGCCTGGTCACCTCCACACCCAGCAGCTGTTCCTCTACACCTCCCCCCGGACCCCCAGCTTTCTGATTTGCAGGGGCCCCCCAAGTGCTCACAGCCGAGCTGTTTCCATTGTATAGGTGGAAAGACCAAGGCCAGCAGTAGGAGGGACAACCAGAGGCCACTCTGGCTTCAGGCAGCAGCCAGGACCTGAAATGCCTGTCTCACCCAGCCTACCTGGGGCTGCCCTCTGCCCCTAGCCCCCTCCCCAAGGCCTGAGGCCCCGGGCCAAGCTGGCCCACGGCAAGGGCTCAGCAAACAGCAGCTGAAGCAAGAAACTCCAGCCTGGCTGCCCCGCCCCTTCTCTGCCTCCCTCATTCTTGGCTTTTGGGGAGGGCACAATCCCCAATCCATCCATCTGGGGGCCGGTCCCATCACCCCACTCAGCTATGAGCCGTGGGAGCAGAGCCCAGTACGCCGGTGCCTGGCACAGAAGGTGCCCAGTCAGTCCTGTCGAAAGGAACCAGTGACTGAGTTTCTGCTGCCGCTTTGAAGCTCCTGGCACCCCGGGCCCCAAAGCCACAGCACGGGGCCAGCGCAGTGGGAGGGGCCTCCCCTCGGGGGCAGGCATGTGCTCAGTGCCCCAGGCCTTGCCCACCGGGCGCGCCCACCTGAAGATGAAGATGAACAGCATGAGCAGCATGCAGAAAGTGGCCACGTTATCCATGGTCTTCATGAGCACCACCAGCTGGCGCCGCAGCGCGGGCAGGAAGCGCACCAGCTTGAGCACGCGCAGCAACCGGAAGGTGCGCAGCACCGACAGCCCGCCGTCCGCCTGCCCGACGATCTCCCACACGCTGTGGGCAGGCCGAGGCTCAGGAGGGCCTTCTCTGGCCGCGCACCCCTGTGCCCACCCTGACCCTGGGATACCCTCTTCCCAGAACACCAGACCGGGAGCCACCGTGGCCTCCGCTCAGCCCCACTCTGGGAGCAGGTTCAGCTGCATGAAGGCATCGACAGGGCTGAGGGACGGCAGTGACACCTCTGAAGCCTCCTAACCAGCTGCTGTCCTGCCGGCTGCCCAACCCCCAGAAGCTGCCCAGTCAGAAGCTTCTCGAGTGAGGGCCTTGCCCGGTCCTCCGCCTTTCAAGCTGTGTCTGGCCTGTCTATTCTTGTTAGGGTGGGGGATCCCTTGACTCCTGAGGGCTTCTTCCTCCTGGGGAAGGGAATTCCCCCAGATTCTCCAATTCATTTCTGTGTTGATTTTGCTGCAGCAGACACCCCTCAGGCAAGCTGGCCTCCCTCAAAGGTTCTGAGCCCTAAGTGGAGTCCGGCTGTGAGGCCGAAGGGCCACTGAGTGCCCACTCTGTTCCTGCAGGGAACAGCTCCACTAGGTTCTACAAACTTTCACCTGAGATGCAGCTGACATACCTGTGTGTACCCGACAGTGCTTGTGGGGAGGGGTGGGGATCCTGCCCCAAGACATCCCATCCCATGAAATGCTGCTGGCAGGGCCTCTCCTGCTGGCTAGGGCTCTGCTATGTGTGGGGGGCTGTCTCCTGACACTGGCGAGCCAGAGCCTCCCCGGCCCCTGTGGGCTCCCAGGAGGTGGGGACCCACCTGATGACCACGATGATGCCATCGAAGATGTTGTAGGGATTCCGGATGTAGCCCAGCGGACCAAAGGCCAGCAGCTTCAGCAGCATCTCCAGGGCAAACATACTCGTGAACACGATGTTGCTGATCTCCAGGGCGTTGGTCAGCTCGTCAGGCTGCGGGCAGCAGAGACGTCATCAGGGCCCACCCACGGCTCCCAGTGCCCCTCAGCAGGGGTGAGGGACTGCTCCACTGAACTAGGAGCAGGTAAGTCTGCATCAAGGGGCCAAGGGGCTGTGGCAGCATCTCAGAAGGAGCCCAACTGGCTGCTGTCTGGAGCAGAAAACAAGGACCCCAGCGATGTCCCCTCCAGCTGGACCCCAACCTGCCTGGCCCTCCTATCCTGACTGTCCCTGGCCCTCCCCAGGCCCTGCCTGACCTTCCCACCAGCATGTCTGAGAAACAGTCCACAGACTTCCCCAGACCCCACAAGCACAGGCCATGGGAAAGGGGCTGGAGCATCTGCCTCAGGGTTCCAGGGTGGGCATGTGGGTGCACGGGGTGCAGGGCACACAGTTGGTGCCTCCCAAGAGCTGCCCTGATCCCTGGTGGCCTTGCACACCCTTCCCTGTCAGCAGAAGGCCCCAGAGGTCCCTCTCTTACTGGGAATGTGCTGGCCCGCCTGTGTGTGTGCACACCTGCACCAGTGTAAATGCTGGTATGTGTGTGTGCCAGTGTGTGGCCTGTTTGTGTGCACATGTGAGTTTGCATGTACCTGCATGTGCCGTGCATGTGCACAGGGCCTCCCACGTGTACACATCTGTACACATGTCCACATCTGCACAGGTAAACCTTGCGTATGTGCGTGTGTGCACGTGCGTGTATGTATACACGTGTGTGTGCAGAGGCTCTTCCTTGCCGGGGATTCCCTCCAGCCTGCTGCTGTCCCTGCCTAGTTCTCACCCTCACAAAGAGAACCTCCCTGCCGGGGCTGCTGGAGGCTAACACTGCTGGCATTTTCCCTGAATTGCTCCAGGATGAAAGAACATAGCTTAAATGACTTGAAAAGCCCAGAGGGTGGAAAACGAGGAAAGCAACTTGGTCATTAAAAAGTGAACTGGCCGCGGGGCTTCCCTCGTGGTGCAGTGGTTAAGAGTCCGCCTGCCAATGCAGGGGACATGGGTTCAAGCCCTGGTCCGGGAAGATCCCACATGCCATGGAGCAACTATGCCTGTGTGCCACAATTACTGAGCCTGCGCTCTAGAGCCCACGAGCCACAACTACTGGAGCCCGTGTCCCTAGAGCCCGTGCTGTGCTCCACAAGAGAAGCCACAGAAATGAGAAGACCGTGCACTACAACGAAGAGTAGCCCCTGATCGCTGCAACCAGAGAAAAAAGCCCGCATGCAGCAATGAAGACCCAATGCAGCCAAAAAAGAAAAAAAAAAAAAAAAGTGAACTGGCCTCGGTCCCCAAAGTAGACGTCCTCTCCCTGCCGGACCCAGCCGCTGCTCCTCCCTGGCGAGGCCCCAGTCCCGGGCAGCGGCTACTGGGGGGCCAGGCACCACCCATACAATTCCTCCTCTGGGGGCCATTCCATACCACTGGCCTCTCCGGGCCACCCAGGGGCATTCCAGTGGGCACATTCTGGCTCATGTAAGTGGGGGGCCACTCTCTGTGAGAGCTGGGCTGTGGGAGTCCCATCCTGAGAAGAGCACTGGGTGGCCTGGTGAGCGCCCTCAGCCCCCTGCTGCCTCTGGGATTGTGATTTCAAACCCCCACCCCAGACAGGAGGACCTCCAGGCGGGAGCCACGGTTTCTCCATTCACCCCTCAGCAGAGGCCCAGCCAAGGAGAAGCACGAGTGTTTGCTGAGTGGCTGATAAAAACTGCCACAACAGCTGACATTCAGCTCTAACGCCATCCCTGTTCCCCAACCCCCAGAAACCCCTCTGTGGGGCCCTGTAAGAGACTGAAGTCTCAAGGAGACACGAGGAACATGCTCCCCGGGGGTCGCTCCGAGGGCTGTCCATTCAGGCCCACTTCACCTCTGGAGGGTGCACCGGGCCGCCTACCTGCTCATGGTACTCGATGCCCATGCTCAGCGTGTTGGTGAGGATGGCTACCATGATGCCGCGGTTGAAGTACTTGCTGTCCACGATGCGGCACAGCTTGCCGCTAAAGGAGGCCCAGACGCGGCCCAGCCCTCCCTGCTCGCCTGCCACTGCCCGCCGCTGTGCGCTCCGCCGCGTTCCTCCTGAGCCTGGCGTGTCCGCCGCTGGGGGTGGCTGCATGGGGTCACGGCGGTCTCCGTGCCGCACATCCCGTGTGAATTCGTAGACCCCGTTGCTGTCCGAGTCTCCGCTGTCTGAGTCGCTGAACTCCAGCTCGGGGTCCTCCAGGGCGCTGGTGCAGTACGGGCAGCTACTCAGCTCACAGGTCAGCGTGCCCGCCTGGGGGCTGGGCAGGGGGCAGGGCACGCTCAGGCCTGACAGACGGCTGGGGGCCTGGCCCAGTCCTGCAGGGAGAAGGATGTGGGCAGCCTCAGGCCGCTCAGCTGCAACACCAGGCGCCTGGGACCCACATGCACAAGCAGGCTGCCATGGGGTGAACGGTGTCTGTGTAGACATGCACATCGTACACATGCACACGCCTGGGCACTCACACCTGGGTACATGTGCACATGTGGGAACATTCATACACACCTAGGCACACGCCTGAGCACATGCACAGACACACATGCCCACGCCCTGCACAGGTACTCTCTGTTCACTCAAGGATAAAAAGAGGCAGAGAGACTCATCCACCAGGGGGCCACGCCATCCACAGAAACAGGACGTGAGCCGCTTCCCAGCAGTCACGTTAAACGGATGATGTGACTGTGAGCATTCCAGGTCACGATGCACAGGAGCCATTGTCGCTCGGTGCTGCCTGCCCGGCTGAGTCTCTGGGGCCCAGGTGACTGCACCGGTGGCGGCTTAGACTCCCCACAGCCAGGAGCCCTGCGGGGCCAACCTGCCCCAGTGGGCAGTGCAGGACTACAGGTATGTGCATTCTGACACACCCCGGTCACTGTGTGAGGACACACACACCTCTACCCACTCCAGGCACCCTGAGGGCTACTGCCCGCGCATGCCACCTGGGAGGGCCTCAGTCTGCATGGGACGCCAGTGTCTGGGGTCACAGTGTCCTGCCCGTCCCAGGTGGGTGAGGCCGGCACCTCAGGTGGGAGGACCGAGTATACTGGGAGGCACCCCGGCCCCTCTCTCCTCGGCCTTTGGGAGCTCTGTGACCTCGGCTTTCCCTTCCCTCTGCCCCAGCCTCAGTCTCCCCACATAGAAAGGGGGCCGGCCACTCCTCCTGAGAAATGACCAGGCCATGGACAGGTGGTTCTTCTCAGGGCCAGGCGTGGGCAATGGGGCACAGCCCCAGGGTTTTTTTTGCTAGCTTCAGAATTCTCATTTCCCGTGGCAAACGCTCAGGGCTACAGGATGGATGGAGGTGGGGGGGGCACCTTCTCCCATCTGAGGTGCCCAGGACCTCCCCCACCTTCTTCCCTTCATCCAGGGCTCCAAGGGAGGAAGGCTGAGCTCACGAGAGTTCGCACACAGGCGGGGATGTCCCAGGAGCCCATCCCCCCACTCCCCACTGCTCCCCACAGGGTGAGGTCCTTACCGTGCTCCCCAACCAGATGCTGGATCTTCTCGCAGGGGTCGGGGCTGCTCAGGCTCAGTGGGCTGTGCCCCCCGGCTCCCAGGGGTCCACCAGGACGCTTCCCCTTGGGCCCGGGGCCACCTTTGCCACTGCCTGTGGCCGAGGGCAGGATGGTGGGGTAGTTCATGGTGCCCAGCCCAGTTGCCAGCTTGAGGCCGGCGGCGGCAGTGGCCACAGCATGTGCCGCCCGGGCCCTCTCCTGTGGCCCCTCCACGTGGCAGTCTGCATGGTACACGCTGTGCACTGACTCAGCGTCAGGGGGCCCATGTCCGGGCGAGGGAGGTGCTCCGGCCCGCACCAGCCTGGTGTCACCACCGCCTGGCTCGGGGCCTGGCCGGCGTGGGCTGCCATGGCTGAAGTGGTAGTGGTGGTGGTGGTGGTGGTGGTGGTGGTACACAAGATGGTGGATGGAGGTGGCGCGCCCTCCCGCCCGCCGTGGCCGCCACCCAGCGCCCTGGCCGTGCGGCACGCCGCTGGGGTCCACCTTCTTGCGCCAGCGGCTCTGCCAGCGGGCATAGAGGCGGAGGCCACGGCGCTTCAGCTTGCGGCACACATGGCCCACGTACCGGAGGAGCTCCTCATAGCAGCTGCCAGGCTCTGAGAAGCTGGCCAGCGTGCTGTCGTTGGACAGGTAGCGGGCCCGCTGCTCCCGCATCAGCTGGCTCTCCCGCTGCTTCGTCTCCGAGAACTGCGTGGCGATCACCACTAGGCACAGGTTGATCATGAAGAAGGAACCCACCTGTGGCGGGCGGGAGGCAGCGAGCTCACCGGACGAGTGCCCCAGGGAGGCAGGGAAGCGGGGACACTGGGACCCACCGCCCTGGGCATCGGACTGGGCAGGGCAGGAGACCAGGACAGCAGCTGTGGTTTCTACACAACAATCAAGCCCCTGATGAGAGAAATACTGAGCCCCACTGTGTGCTGTCCGTTCTAGGGGCCTGGGATATGGCCCCCGGGTAGCCGGCGGCGGCAGGGCACCCTGTGATGGGCAGGGTCCTTGCTGATCCGATGTTGAGCCCCAGCATTTGGGATGGGTGGTGCAGGGTAGGTGCTCCTTGCCTGTTTGTGGACAGTTGCAGGACATGTGGGGAGACCCGCCTTCCCGTCATCTGTGTGGTTTGTCCCCCCATCCTTCAGCTCTGTCCCCAGCCACTCCCTCCCGCCTGGGTCAGGTCTTCCTCAGCCCCCACGGCTTCACTGTCCTCTGTGGCAGGGTCACCGGGTGACACTCTGCTGTTTGTGTTTATGGTCTGAGATAAGGCAGGACAGGTGCCTGGTTTAATTCACGGTTGGTCTTTTCAAACCCTGCCCCAGGCACCAGGGGCCACTGAGAGAACCAAGTGAGGGCCACCCCTGGGGGCCACAATCCCTGTGGAGGGCCGTGCCTGGGGGAAACACCTATACTGTGGAGAACTGTGCTGAGAGCCCATGTACACTGTGGGGGGACTGTGACCCCAACAGGTGATCCTGACTCTCCTGCAGCCTCCTGATAGGACCTGGCCATGGGAGGGCCTGAAGGGCTGTCTGAGGTCTCTCTCCCCTCCCCACACACACAGGCTTCTCTGTCCTCCCAACCCTGCCCACCTCCTCCTGGGGCTGGACAGAGTCTCCCCCCAACTCCACCAAGGGCCCCCACCCACCTGCCCTGTACACGATGGCCCTGGGTCTCTGCTGCCCCCGCCCTGCCCTATAGCTCAGTCAAGTGCAGGGACCCAAGAGGGCCAGCAAAGGCCAAGATGGCGCTGCACCAGGGGCACAAGCAGGATCTCGCTGGACCCCGGGGACAGGACGACGCCTGCTAACAGAGGAGGAGCTTGGGATCTGAGACAGGGCTGTCGCAAAGTGGGGGCACACCCCCCCACCCCTCGCCCCGTGCATCCCACTCCGCCCCTGCACTTACAATGATGAGCAGGATGAAGTAGATGAAGTTGTAGAAGGAATGGGCATCCATGACGTAGTACATGATGTCCACCCAGCCCTCCAGCGTGATCACCTGGTGGGGGGCAGGTGGCTGGACACACGGACGGCCCTGAGAGGGCGGTGGGCCCTCCACGTCTGCCTGGTACCAGCCCCCAGGCCCCGCATGCTGGGCGCCCAGTGCAGGGGAGACCCAGAGCCCACCTGGAAGATGGCGATCCAGGCATAGCCGATGTTGTCGAAGCTGATGGCCCCGTTGTGTGGGTTGGAGTCGCCCGAGCGGCACACATTGTAGTACTGGTTCCAGTTGATGCAGGTGTGGTGGTCCGTGCCACCTGCACCCTCGGCCTGTGGCTGCCCATAGGCCTCCCAGCCCAGCGTGCACTCCACGCGCAGCTCACGGCGGCTGGGGATGTGTGAGCACTTCTGCATGCCGTTGTCCCGGCGAGAGGAGCAGATGAAGGGGTTTTCCTCACCCTCCTCCGGCTGGTAGTATGGCCGCAGGAAGCTGAGGTTGCTGTTCCTGAAGGCACAGAGATGGAGAGACAGAGAGAAGCAGACAAACAGACACAGTCAGACAGAGATAGAAACACACATAAAAACCAAAAGTAACAGAGACAGACCCAGGCCCACCAGTGCTAGTGCTGCTCCAGGAAGGGTGTGTCCCTGGGAACAGGGCCTGGAGGGGAGGAGCCTGTTAGGGGATGAGCCTGGAGAAGGAGGAGACTGTTGGTGGAAGAGCCCGTTAGGGGAGGAGCCTCTGGGTAGGGAGGGGAGGGGCCTGGAGGGGGAGGAGCCTGCTAGAGGAGGAGCCTCTGGGGGCAGGCCCTGGGAAAGGCAGATTCGGGGCACGTCCTGCAGGGTGGGCAGGGCCCCTGCACCTGGCGAAGGTGCTGTCCAGGAAGCAGCGGTTGCGCAGCAGGCCAGCCCAAAGCTGGACACCCACGATGCCGAAGATGAAGAAGACAAAGAAGCAGAGCAGGAGGACGTTCCCGAGCATGGGCAGCGTGTCCAGCAGCAGGGTGACCAGGATCCTCATGCCTGCAGGTGGCAGGGCAGCTGGTCAGTGCAGCAGAGCCCTCCTGAGAATCCCTGAGGCGCCAGGCCCTCCTGGGAGCCCTGAGCCCTCTGCCATTCACAGATGGACATCAGCACCTCTGTGGGGGACATGAGCTGGGCCCCCCCAAGTCCAGCATGCCCCAAAGGACAAACATTTGCGGTAAGACACCACAGAGGGGAGCAAGGCCATGGCCTGGAGGGGCTCAGGGCGGGAGGTCCCTGATCCTTGCGAATGCCGTATGGGAACACACTGCAGCCAGGCAGGCCCCCAGGGTGACCAGACCAGGAGTCCCGCGGCCCCAGGCTCCTGCATGCGAGCAGCAGCCTGGGGGTCTTGCAGCAGATACTGGGTTCAGGAACCAGCGTTTCTTTCCATTCTCTGTGAGAATCACGTTGAGCAGAGCCCTGCACTGGAGGGGAAGCAGGGGCTATGTGCACCCCAGGGCAGGAAGCGGCTTTTGAGAGGCAGTTTTGAAGCTCTTGTTCCTGGGTGCGATGGGCTGCGTGTACACCGATTATTCGAGGGAGTGGGTCAGCCAAGCCCCATGCGCCCCTTGGTCCCGGGCCTGCCCCCATCCCAGACCTCAGTGAAGATAAGACTTGTTTCCAGACACAAGCAAGAGCTGACCTAAGGGTACAGGCAGAGCCCTGGGCCAGGGGGCTGAGCCAGGGGGCCTCGTGGAGAGCACCCTGGAGCTGTTGGATGGCAGAGGTGGGACCCCTGGGGTCACAGGGGGGAATCACAGCTGGGAGAAGCACTTAAGTTTCAGAAATGGCCAGGAGGAAGATTCATCAGGGACAAAGTGAGCACCACCCGGGCCAGACAGCAACTGGCTCAAAAGGCCACATGTGATCTAGCGTCAGAGTGGACCCCAGGCAGCCAGAGTGAGACACTGGGGGCCCACTGCGAGGGGCACATGGTCCTGTCTGGGGAGGCACCCTGTTTGGGACCAGGGCATGTCCCCAGAGTGAGGCCAAGCTGCTGGCATTTGGTCTGAAAAGTGAAGATCTGTGTTGTGAAAGGGGCTGTATTATCACTTCACACACTGAAAGGGGGTCCAGGTGAGCGGACTGAGTGCCTGATGGTGCTGGGCACAGAGCCAAGAACCACGCGTGACACCTCACCTCAACCCACAGCCATCCTTGAAGAGGACCACATTCAGAGTTGGGTAAACCGAGGCTCAGAGAGGTACAGTACTTGCCCAGGATCACATAGCATCTGAGCCCTGTCTGATCCTTGAGGGTATAGCCAGGTGGCAAGTAGAAGGAAGGCCCAGGGGTCTCACAGCATAAACCTCACCCACCTGCCCTTTGGTGGAGCTGACAGCCCCAGGGGGAGGGAGTGACCCACACTGGGGGTGTATGACTTCTTGGAGGGGCCGCAGGACACACCCTGACCACCCAGACTTCGGTGCTGAGGCCACCAGGACCCAGGCCAGGCAGCCAGAAAGGCTGTGCGCACCTACACGGCACACACAGATCCACATGCACGTGTGTGTATACTCACTTTATAGTCACACGGGCATCACCCACACACAACCCCAGGAAAATTAACGGCTGAATTCGATCACATCCCTGAAGACTTTGAAGACATAGAAACTCCCAAACAGCCCCATGTGGGTAGATGACCTGGGTCCGGACAGACCACATTCCAAACGAGCAGCCACATGACCCCCTGAAAGCTTCTCCACCCTTCCCTGAGCACCAGACCCTTTGGCAGAACTCAGACCTGAGAACCAGGGTGGGACAGACAAGAGAGCAACCAAGTCCTGCACGTGTCCTGCGGGCACGACCCCAAGTGCTGTGCAGATGAGGACTCTGAGGTTCAGGATGGCCCCCGTCACTCAGCAGCACTGTGGGGAGTCAGGGCCCCACACAGTCTGACTGCGCATCACACCCCAACTCGGCCCAGGGTTGCTCTGTCCTCCCCAGAAAAGCACTGGCAAATCCTCAGGTTCCTATGGCGAGTGGCAGGAGGCCAGCCTCTCCTACCCCGGCACTGGGGTCTGGGCTGGGGCCAGAGCATCCAGACGCCATACAGGCAGTGTGGCCTACTGGTCTTGTGCCCCAGTGGGTCCTCAAAAGCTCTCATCAGGGCTGGCAGGACACGCCTGTCCCAGGCCCGGGTGTGAGGGTCACTTACTGGGCACACGGTTGATGGCACGGAGGGGCCGCAGCACACGCACTGTCCGGATGGCCGAGAGGCTCACGTTGTGTCCATCCAGAGAGTACTCCATCATGCTAGGAGTGGGGCAGAGGGAACGGGTGCTCAGGCGGCCAACAGGTGCTCTGGGGTCAGAGCCAGGCCAGCGGGCACACGGTTCTCTCCAGGGCACCCTGCCAGCTGAGGCCAGGAGGCCCAGGGCAGGTGAGCACATGCCAGAGGCCTGGTCCCCACACCAGGCACCCAGCCTGGCTGGGCTCCAGGGCAGGGGAAGCATAACCTTAGGTTACCACTGGGGGCTCCTCACCACTCACAGGCCACTCCATGCACCCTGTGTCTGTCCTGCTGTCCCTGGTGCTGGCAGGGACAAGTGTCCTGCCCCTGGCACCCCAGACCCAGTACCACCTGAGCACACCTCCCCATCCCTCTTCCTGGGGGACCCAGGGGCTGCCATGGGGTCTGAGGGGGGCAGGGCTCCCAGCCAGGCCTGGCCAGGCGCAGGGGCCGCCCTGGTCTGGTCTGCGGTGGGGCAGGGCCATACCCCGCCATGACGATGAAGAAGTCCAGTCTGTTCCACGTGTCGCCCAGGTAGCACTTCTGCCCGAACAGCCCGAGGGCGATCATCTTGATGACCATCTCCACCGCGAAGAAGGCAAAGATGAAGTCGTCAAACGCCTGCAGGAGACGGGCCTGAGAGCTGGGCCTGCACCCCTCACACCCAGCCCAGGTCACCTGTGGCCAGTCCCGCCCTGCCTGCCCCGCCCCGCCTGCCCCGCCCACCTCCAGGATGCTGCAGCGCTCCGAGCGGCACTCGACGTCCTCACAGGGGCGGAACATGCCCAGGGTCACGCAGTTGAGCATGATGACCAGCATGCTGACGTGCTCGAACCACGTGGGGCAGGTGCCGAGTTAAGGGTCCATGTGGCAGGTGGGGGAGCCCCAGAACCCGCCCCCAGCACCCCCTACAGCTGCCACAGGGACAGTCCCTCAAAATCCGCGCCCCCGTGCCCAGGCCATCAGCTGGGCAGTGAGGGACAGACCCCCAACACCGGCCTCTGGACACTGCTGCCAACCCCTCATGTACAGCAGGACCATGGATGGAGGCGGGAGGCCAGCCACTGCCCCTCTGCCAGACTCCCCCAACTGTGATGCCCTAAACTGAGATCAGCCTCTCAAATTAGCAGTCTCACCAGCACTGTCCAGCTGGGACCCCAAATACCACAGACACCTCATGAGGGCAGCCCTGAAGACCCCTCCCCCTGGCCCTGCATGAAACCCTCCGTGACCCCAGCAGAAGGAGAATGCCCTGACCACAGTGATGGGCGATAAGCAATGTGGACTTGAGCCCAGCTCAGTGCCTGGGCCTGGAGGACCCGCAGCCCTACTGTGTGCCCAGACGAAGGGGGCCGGGACATGGACGAAGGACAGGTGAGTGAAGACACCCTCCGCCCCAAGTTAGTCCTGGGAGTGGAAGCCGCCTGCCCGTGAAGGGTCCTGTCCAGGAGTCTTCCCTTTGGCAGGAGGGTATCCAGCCAGGACTTCAGGGCGCCGGGCCAGCAGCCAGGGCTGCATCCCCTTGTGCTGTGTGAACCTGGCCACCCTGTGGGGTCGCTGACCCTCAGAATGAAAACTCACCCAGGATCCCAGAATGCTCAGCCATTCTAGGAGTGGCCACAAGGTGGCACCGTGGCTCCACAGAGGCCATGGCATTACTCTGGCTATGACGCCCTCAGTGGCTGTCTCCAGACAGGGGTGCATCCCCATGTTCGCTTCCTTTGGCTCATCAGGAGATCGGGGAGCCCTGTGGTGGGCCGGCCGTGTCATGTATGAGGAAGGGACCCACACCCCAGGCAGGTGACCCAGGGGCTGCCCAATCGGGGATAGGCTGCGTGGGGGGGATCCCCGGCTGGGGGACTGGGGCTTCACCCAAACTCCTGGATGCAGGTAAGTGCCCGTCAGATGGGAGGGCCCTGGAGGCATTCCTTGTACCCCACACACCACCCCCACGTCAAGAACCCCCTCCCACCAGGACCCACCCCCACCCCCCAAGGCGGGCTTTCTGTGGGGCTGCCTGCCTGTCCTGCCCTGGGCTGGAGAGAGTGAGGGCGTGAGCAGGAGGCCCCCAGAGGTCTTCTCTGGGCTGGTGCGGGGTGGATGGGGGACTTTCCTTTAAAGAGAGAGAAGTCGGCGCTTGGAAAACACCACGTGTCAGTAGACAGCCTGAGAAACCTGGTGTTGAGACCCTGCACCTACCCACTTGGGGACCACCCCGTCCTGCAGTCCCCACCCTGCCCTGCAGCCCCCAGGCCGCCCGACGCTGAGGGGACTGAGGCAGGATGACAGGGACAGGGCATCCACCCTCAGATTCCTTGGCTGCAGCACATACTGGCTGTGTGACCTGGAGCCTTGGTGCCCCTCCGTTTCCCCTGTGTTCCTCCAGCTGGGTAGGTGGATGCGTATCTCATGGATCAACAAGGTGACCAAAGCAGCAGGGCCCTGCTCCCCAAAATGAAGGTCAGTCCCAGGGCCATGAGTGCCCACTCCATGCTCCACCACATGTGGGCGCTGGGCCAGGGGTCCGTGCGGCCCCACCTGTGAGGGGCTCTGATGCCAAGGGCACCTCACAAACTGGGAGAGGCTGTGCTGTGACTGGAGTCAGGGAAGGACAAGGCCTGGGGAGGTTCAGGGCCTGCATGCTTATTCAGGTGTACAGGCCCCGGGATCAGGGCAGGAGGAAGGCCAGGCCATGTGTGTCCTTCCTTTGTGGGGCCCGGCAGCCTGCCCCGCCCAGACCCCTCTCCCCCTGCCTCCCTGCAAGGGCAGGGCCAACAGTTGCCGCTCTGAAGCCCCTGGCCCTTGGCACACTGCACAGTGTGGCACTGGGCCACCAATATAATTACCCGTTCCCACTGAGAGCACCATAATTACACTTAATGGGTTCAGCAGTAACAAGTGGCTTTGCTGTGATTTGGCTGCAGAAAAACAGAAATCAGAGTCCTGCTAAGACAGCGCTGAGGGCCCAACCCCGCAGGCCCGTGACAGCGCAACGGGAGCTGGCCGAGAAGGGCTGGCAGGGTAGCTCGGCGCACAGTCGGGGCCTGTGGGTGCTGCAAGGTCCCCGTGGGTGGGGTGGGGGGAGGAGAGAGCTGCAGCTGAAAGCTGCTCCAAACACCCATAGTGCACCTACTGTGCGCCAGCCCACGGGGCAGCTACAGTCCAGCCCGCCCTGCACAGACTGGGAGCTCTGGTGGCTCGCCCAAGGGGACCGGGCGTGGGTCCCAGGCTGTGTCACGGGATGCTGAGGCCACACACTGAAGCCAGTCCTAGGGCACCGCAGCTCTCCCCGTGTCCTGACCCGCTGGCTGCAGCCCCTGGGAGCTGCGCACGACTCCTCTGTCCTTCACTGCTGCAAACAGCACCTCTGGAAGAGGGGCTGCAAGGGTGTCATTGTGTGTCTCCCAGGAGCAAGGGTGGGTTCTCAACACTAAAGCTGTGGATAACATGCCTGAAGGACAAGCACCCCCAGTCCCACCAGCGAGGACACTGCCACACAGCAGGGAGCAGGCAGCTCTGGGTCTGGGCGCGCGATGCTCAGATTCTCCCCAGGCCTGGCTGGACCCTTGGTCTTGCAGGCACGTGGCCCCCCCAACCCCTGCAGGGAGACAGCACAGAGCAGCCTGGGCCCTCAGTTTGCCCATACAGGCAGTGGGGGTGTGGGGACTGTCTGGTCCTGGGACCCTCCTTCCTTGCCCCACTTCTTCGAGCTCTCCCCTGACCCCGAGTGCTTCCGCCGGGCCAGCTCCCACCTCCCACATGGCGAACATCCTGCTCCATCCAGGAGCAGCAGGGTTTCCAGCCCAGCCCAGCCCAGCCCAGCCTGCCTCTGAGCCCTCAGCTCTTCCCTTCTTCCACCAGCTTCATGCCCCTCATCTCAGACTGATGTCGCGAGCCTGCTGCCCGATTTCTCCCAGGCCCATGCCCATGTTGACTCTGGGATCACCGTAGACCCCGGAGCTGGCGTTGAGTAGAGCTAAGGACCTTGGTCCTCAACGGTGCAGTGCATGTCTGGAGCCCTGGGCTGGGCTGGGCCACGACCCATGAGACGTTACTTGATCAGGGGCTAGGGGGGCCCAGTCTCCAGCAAGAGCCACAAACTAGGCTCCCAGCAACTTGCAAAGATAGCCCAGCTTGAGGTCCTGGGCCGGGGTCCTACCTCGATACCTTCCCAAACCACTAACAAGCAAAAACCACCCACCAACCTCGGCTTTCTCCTGACCCCGCTGGCCCCATGGCCCCACCTGCCTCCCCTGCCCTGGAGGCAAGCCCTAGGGGCTCAGGACAACCTCCACGGCCACAGAGACCCCATGCGGCAGGATGAGCACAGGTTTGTGTGTGAGGTGGAGACACTGTCCATGTGGCTGGGGTGACCAACCTGGTCAGCAAGGCCCAGAAAGTTCCCTATCCATCCTCATGAGCACGCTCCCTTTGGGGTTACTATTCTATGATACACCCCAGCCCCCCTCCCCCCCCACCCCAAACACCCTGGGAGGGATGAGCTCCTGGGGTTCCTGCTCATCTTTCTGTGCAAAGTGCACACAGGAGAAGCACTTAGAGCCACCCTGCCCAGGGAGGAGCTCCCCACGCACAGGGTCCCACTGGCCCTGCCCAGAGAGGGGATCCGCCAGCGGTGGGGGGGAGGGCTCCATCAGCCCCACACGTCACAGCCGTTCCCTGGTCACGCCTTTGTGGGCAGCTGAGGACAGGCAGTGCCAACTGGACTCTCATCACAAGGCCACTGACTTCCGGAGGCTTAATTACACAGATGGATTTTCTGAGTTTTAATTCAAAATCCTTTAGGTTTAGAACCAAATTCTACAAATTAGAGTCAATTTCCACTGCGGGTCCAGAGAAGCCAGGCTGATGTGTGGCTGGGAAGAGGCGGCTGCGCCATCACAGCAGGGGGGCTGTGGTGCTGCCCGAGGCCTGGCCACACACAGAGGGGCTGGGGGCATGGGTCTCTCCATGGGACCCCATAGCCAGGAAGGCTCTGCCCAGGTCCAGAGGCTGAAAGAAGGGCAGAGAGGCCCCTGACCCATGTTCCTAGACCACCCTAGGCCTTGACCCATTAGGACCCAGGGATGTCCCCTGGCCTAACAGGACCCTGGTGTCCAGCCTGGGCAGGGTGGGGCATGCAGTGACTCTCCCTGGGGCAGCCTGTCCCACACCCAGGCTGGGGACTTGTGAGAAACTGGTCCCCAGAGAGGCGTGGAAATGAGCCCAGAGCCAGGGCTAGAGACCCGATCAGCAGTGGGAGCAGAGGACTGGTCCGTCCAGGGACCCCTCAAATGCTGTACCCCCCCGTGGGTCCCACACTCCACCCACAAAGCCCTCCCAGCATTTGGCCGACCTGTCCCAGCATCAGCCTCCTTCCTGTCTCCTCCCTCCTCCCTCCCTTCTCGTTTCTGCAGCCTCGGTGGGGCTCAGCAAGGACTGGCCCACCTTCACACCCCAGCAGCCATGCCCGTGGGCCAGCCTCCCCCAGTCAGTGCAGAGTAGGTGCTGGCTCCATGGTCTCCCAGACCATGACAGCAATGCACCCCAAACAAATGCGATGCCAGGCCCTGAGGGCCAGGAGGCCAAGAGGGATGGTGGCCGCTGTCCGTGGTGCTGAAGTGGCCACTCCCAGCAAGCTCAGGGCTGGGGAGAGGCACTCGCCCAGCAGCCAGAGGGCCTGCTCACCCAGGGCCTAGGTTTTGCTGCTAACCACTCCAGAGTCTCTAGTTCCACGTTCTTTCTTATTCCTGGACTTTCAGATGGTTAAAAGCACACCAAGGCTGCTTGGAAGATGGCGCTGGCCCGCCTGGAAGACAGCTCGGAAGTGGGGCCACCCCA